ACCGTCGCAATTATTGCAAAACTCTATTGATATATTAAAAATTGAATTTTAAACCCGTAATCTTGCCAAACGTTTATTTTTCATAAATTTCCATTATTTTAGAAATTGTAATAAATTAAATGATTCAATTCTCATAAAATTGAACTCTATACTAATAATCTTCTTGATAATTATATTTTTATCATGATTTCCAACTGCACCGTCACAATTATTACAAAACTCTCGTGATATTTTAAAAATTTGAAATTTAAATCCAATAATCTTACAAAAATGTGTTTTATCATAATTTTCCATAATTTTAAAAAATGTAATAAATAAAATGAATAAAATTCTCATAAATTCAACTCTATACTAATCTTCTTAATAATTATATTTCCAGAGGAGTTCCCGGTATTTTTGTGAAAAGCATAAGTGAAGAAGTTCTGCGTCTGTCTAAACAATCCAACTCAACGATCGTATTATAGAGGTAACATAATGAAAATTTCCATTAATGCATATTTGTTAATTGTAATATGACAACAATATCTAAAAAATTATATTCTTTGAATAAAAATGTAAAATGATTTTAGTTTCGTTCGTGACGAAGGATAAAAACTTTCCAAGAGTAGCATTTTCCTTGTTGCATTCTTTATTTGCCTTTTTACCCCTTGAGAAGTTATTATTTCCAGAGGTTATTGTATGCTCTTGCATGAAGTCGCTCGATAATATAATAAAGAACACTTCTGATCTTGGAAATAAGAAAATAATAACCCGCGACATTATCCGAGTAGATGGGAAATAAGCTATTTTGTTTATTTCCTGCAACGTGCCTTCAAATACTTTTGTAAGCCTTCTCATCCACAACATTTCAATACGATGTACGGGTATATCCTTGTTTGTATAATAATTATATCGGATACGTAGGTAGATGTTTATTTGAATGACTTTATTTATGAAACGGTTTAGCAATCAAATTAATTATCCAGAACTTTTCGGAATATGTTACTATATCCCACAAAATCTTAATGATTTTATTTAAATATAGAATATTAAATTTTGCATTTTTACATTTAATTAAATATTTGTTTCAAAAACATGTTACAATAGTATGCACAAGATAATATCTGCTTCTTAGAAGTTCAAAATAATAAAATAATTTTCATAAATATAATATTATTAATATATTTCTATTCATATCAACTGGTGTTATATATTATTATTTCTTATACCTAGTTGATGGGGTTTCCTTACGTTCTCGTAGTAATCCAGAGGCTGTGAAGATCTACGTGACACCGGCAACCGCGTTCGGCTGCGGCTTGAGCGTTACCTTCGCGGTCCTAAGCTGGAACCCTCAGAAGGGCGCTTAAAACACACGGGCTCTCAAATCACCTCCAAGTCCACATCGCCTAGCGTTCTACTTTCGTTGCCCAAATTTAGCGTCAGCATAGTAAGTTTCTCGTTTTACTAAATATTTACTCATTCTTTTTCATTGTTTAAACAGCAATCAGAAGTCTTACTTTACATGTTCTATAAGCTGTTTGTTGAAGACTTAGATTTAACGTATTTTATGAGAGGCAACCCTCGGTTTACCATTCGCCTATATGTGGAGTTTTATATTAGCTCTTACGTCTAATAGTTATCATATGATTGAATGATGTAGTTATGCCCACGAAGGACGATTTCCACTTGAAATTATATTACTAATTAATAATAGGAATAAAATTAATTATTTAGATTAAAACCGAGTATTGAAAAATCGTTATTATGCCTTTTTATCTATAACAGGTTTTCGTTTCGATAATTAGAATGCGGGAATGAAATCGTGAATTTTGAAATACATTTTGTTATTATAATATAGTTAGTGACATTGACAGCGGTAGATTATGAAAATATGTAGATAACTAAAAACTGTTTAATATATTGCGACGATTTTGTTTAAGTATTTTCCGAAAAAAATTATGAATATTTATGAATATTTAGCGAATGTGAATTTTCAACATTGTAAAAATAGTTTCGTAGATAGAACATTTTTAAAATAATATTAAATTATTTTAAAAATGCTCTATTAAAGACATCGTAGCACACGCTATCGATAAATAATTTTATTGATAGAATATTTTGTTTGGTGAGATTTTTTTTTACGTATATATTTATATTATTATATTATTTTGTTTATATTATATATATATTATATTATTATTTATATATATTCTATATATATATATATATATTAGGGTGGTCCTTAAAGATCATTATCGAATTTCCTTACGCCCAGGGGCTCAAATGCTTCCAATAGATAAAAAAACAATTCTCTGAAAGTTTTAGCTCTCAATATAAAGTTTTAGCTCTTAATATTAAAGTTTAGATAGAGCGCAATTCAATCAATGTTTTGCATGGAAATGGCTTGGTAAAATTTTCCAAAATTTTAAAATGTTTTTTTACATGTAATTTAGCGAACAATGAATGAATAAACTCATTCATTTGTCGCTAAGTTATACCTAAAACATTTTTTTTAAAATTTTCAAATTTTTTTTATGCCCTTTTTATACGAAGTTTGATTGAATTGCGCTTTATCTAAACGTTAATATTAAGAGCTAAACCCTTCAGAGAATTGTTTTTTATCTATTGGAACCATTTTAGCCCCTGGAGCAAGAAAATTCAAAAATGACCATTTTAAGGACCATCCTAATATATATATATATATATATATATAGTATATATATACTTACCATTATATATATACATTTTGATAGAATTTGTTATTCTATTCCATTACATGTGACGATGGTTTAATTCTCTAAAAGCATAAGTTTTAGGGCGATAACCGATAAGAATAATTTATACACCGTCATAGATTGAAAAGTTTTATACTACCATGCGGTCGAAATGTGAGTTGTTTTTCAACTGAGACTAATTTATTTAATAATTGTGATTATAAGGAATTTAAATGTAAAGTATGTATTGAAATGGCCGCATGGTCAACATTAATCGGGCGCAAATTTCTTCATTATAGAATGATCATTTAATTTACGGAATTAACGATTATAAGATGTACAAGGATATCATGTTTATATGAAAAAAAAACAATTGAAACAAAAACTACTATTGCATATCCAATTGTTCATAACATTAACCATCAGAATGGATTAGAAAATAATTTGTCTTTCAAATTTAGGTACATGTTAAAAATTAAGATTAAAATTATTTCTGGATTTTATATATATATATATATATATATATATATATATATATTTATATATGTATATATATATTTATATATATCAAAAATAGTAATAAAATTGGGTGATTAGTTTAAACTTGATCTAAGAATAGCCAAGTATGAGTAAGATGTAAACGGATGCTAATATAATATGTTACAGTGTTTTATAACTTTCAAATATAACGTATGTTAACTTTTTGCGCATTACTTTGAACTAAACAATATAATCATTCACTTTTCTGCATCGGCTCAAGGTGTTAATTTGTTTTTTTGCTATATTTACGTCATTCGGGATTCAGTATCGCTAATTTAAATTAAAATTATTATTAATTATCTACTCATTTTTATGATTATAGTTAATACTTTACATAATTTTATAAATATTTAAAAAATGAAAAATATTAATGATAATTGCCAGTGATGTTCATGACATATACTTACAACATGTTTTATGTTTTATGTTCTTGTGTTGGTGTAAGTTACTTGTAATAGTCAACAGTTTCTCGACGATTAATTCTGCTACTAAGGACAGTATTACAATAGTTTGATTTGCAGTTTGTCAAAATTTTGAGCTATTTAACTAGTTTGCGGACGTGAATGCTATAATTATTTCCGATTGAGATGATGCTATATTAGCCTTAAAGAAAATTATTTTGAATTTAACTTTACGTTATGTACAAATCGTATAATTTATATCTGCCAAGATAATGACTAACTGATTTTTTTCAGTTTTACCATTATATCAAATTTACCCCATAGTCATAAAATAACTTGGAAAAGCACAAGCGTAAAAAGAAGCATTATACTTGACACGGATGCTATAGCATTATTTGCATATAACGATTAAGTATGATAATCTTTACTATCCTTATAAACGGTATTTGACCAAATTTTGAAACCACACACCATTTAAAAACAAAATGACTATCAATTTTTCTACCTTGCTGAAACTTTACTCCCCGCGTACACGTTAATCTATTTCTGCTGCTGAAGTATAGAATTGAATCCTCCTCAAATTAAAATTGAATGACAATGTGTTCTGATTGATCTATGTAATATCATAAATGAATCATTAACCGTACTTATAATTAATCGATTTGCATAAGTTCGTAATTGCTATCAGATTTCAGTTTCGCTCTGAGAGCACGGTATTAACGAGTCTTCATGATTGATTGATGATCGATACGAAAGTGACGTAAACCGACACTCTCATTATTGTTCCTGGGGATTTTTATATACAAATCCCCAAACCATTGAAAACTGCATTTATTCATAAAGCCCTCACAATGCCGCTTTACGGCCTTTTACGTAACTCCAGGGAGGTAATGTGAATTTTCCATTGTTACGGTCCGTTTGGATTTTATTTGTCCAAAATACAACTTTTATAAAATCATAAAATTCTTTATGCCATTCGAAAGCGTACAATTTATTGAGCGCAGAATTATGACGTCGTTAGAGACGATGTCGGTTGGTGTGACGACTATATGGAGGTGACCAAACCTTTTTTGCACCGCAAAACCGCAATCAATAGTTGAAACGTGTATGGTTTTTTACTCAGATGTGACTAACAAAACGCAATTATATTCACAAAATGTAAGATCATCTCGTATGTTGCGAGATTTCATCATTATTTTCATATAAAAACTTTTCTACTATTAGTAAACACATTTTGAACAAAAAATTACAGTCAGAAACTAGATGGTTTGGAATTCAAAAACTATTTTTTTCAATTTATACAAATGATTGTATATCCATTTGCAATGAGTAATAATTATATTATATTAACCATAAATCAAATACATATATGTACCAGTAAAATTTCGACTGATTATGATATACTAATTTCAAATTACTAGCGTTTACAGCGAATAATGCGTAAAATACTCATTAAATATGTTATTTATGTTCGAATTAAAATTCGTTATTATATAGCATAAGCTTTTCAAAAGTTATTTTATTATGCTGTAATATTTACACCTGTTCGAAAATGGACAAGTAGAATTTGAAAAAAAGACTATAAAAATACAAATTTTTCTGCCCACTATTAGAGATTTTGAATTGACATATATAAATGTAATATGAATTTCTTTTTCAATCTTGTCCTGGTAGTTCTGTGGCAAGTGGGTTTAAATGATCCTCGTATTTCATCTTTGTTTAAAAAGATGACTTATTGTTTTAAATCACCACAAAAATCCTTAACTCTTGAGATTATTAGAATTTTTCGTTCATTTGTTATATTTTATTTTTGTTAATCAAGACTTTAATGTCTTATTTACAAAATTGATAGGCGCAAAAAAAATAATACAAAAAATACAATAAATTGAATATAAAATGAAAAAAGTTAAAATAAATAAAATAAAAACAGTGATACAAAATAATAACAAAATGAACTATGGCGTGATGAATATTAATTTATCTTTAAGACAAATAGAAGTAATTCCTTGAATATAAATCTTGAAAAATTATTTCAAGCTTTTCATATTTGCGTATATTTGGGTTTAATTTTTAAAATCAAGGTCATATTATATGTATATGAATAATTTTTGAGACAATAATATATAATTCTTCTGATATTAAAATATGTTATATTCTGCTTTCGATTTTTTTTTTGGATGGTAAATTATTAAAGAATTGTTATTCTACAGTTTATGACTTAGTACGATCCTGTAAAATATAGATTTGCAATGCACGTATTGTTTTTGAAATTACAAGCTTTTATCGAGAATAAAGTCTAAAATACTGATTGTGAGTAAATAAGTGATTTATATGTAAAATGAAATGCGTAGTAATGTAGCCTTGGCTATTCCAAAGTATATTTGCAGAATATTGTATTATTTTAAATATTTGCAGAATATTTAATATTTTATATATTCTACAAAAAAATCTGAACTTTTGAGATCTCAGAAGTAAATATTTTTATTCATTCATTTTTAAGACAAATAAAAATCATTCCTGAAAATCTTCAAATATTATTCCAACTTTTTCTATAATTTTAAATTATGACTATTAAGTTATGAATTATGAATTTCCTGGTTCAAATTTCATAATTATAGCGTTATTATAATAAAAATTATAATGAATAGTAGTCTGCCCGAAGGAAATTCCATGGTGTGGAAGCCACCACAAATCAATGATTCACTTTCCCTTTCTGGTTTGCTTTTCCCATTATTATTAAACTCTTTTTTATACACTTTTATGCATTTTTCTTCACAAACTTCTGCTTCCATGTTTTCTTATTCTGCGCTCCTATATATAATTATAACTTATAAAGCCCTGTTTTGTCTCGGCCTTATTATATATACCAATAATTTTAAGTATTTATATATAATTTTAAATTTTTTAAACGGTGCCATGTAGTGTTTTGGCAAGTAAGTTTGTGTGATTTCGAGACAGCTTTTCACTTATCTGAATAGTTTGTATATTATCGTTTACTAAGCTGATGTCGACGTCTTTATTAATCAGCCGATTCAGTGCATATTTTGGGGGCCACTCAAAATTTCTTTTAATAATCCATTTCAATATTATTTTTTTTTATTATTGTTGATGATGAAATACGGTCCTGTGAGATGTAGATTTGCATTGCATTTATTGTTTTGATCATGTTCAGTAGCACGTTCGTCTTTTACGTAACAGTTTAGTAAAGTATTATTTTAGTAGTTCTGCTTGAGACGTGCGCGATGCGGAGTCAGTTATGATATGTAGCGGTTTCGCAATTATCTCACAGTGTCGACTGGTCAATTAATTTATACAACGTGACTGCCTTCGTTTAATTGAATAATAATACCTTTGTGAACAATAGATTTAGTGCTAAGATATTTCTTCTCATATAATTGTCTATAGTGATATGTGCTGTGTTGGTGGCTGCAGGATTAATCAGTCCGCATAGCAATTAAAGGTTTGCAAATGATCAATAGCGCAGTTTGGTGTTCAAAAATAAACACGTGTGGCATTGAATGTTTATCGGAATACAATTCTCTCAACAAAATATCAATAAATTTTTATGATTCTAGCAATCAATTTGTATACGTGTATGATTTTACCTATTTTATTATTCAAAAAGATTTGAATTTATTTAATAAATGAGAATGGTTTAAAAAGTAGAAGATCGATGAATGAAAAATTGGACAGAAACGCACGTGGCAAATTATTTTTATACGTTTTAAACTTATAATTTATATAGTGCTTTTATTTTTAAATGTTTATATAATATCACACTTGGTTTTAATTATACACGTATAAAAACAAAATAAATCTGTACAGGCAACCATCCAATAATTAAAAGAGTACTAGGTATTAATTTTTGTAAAAAGTCTTCTATACGTTTTGAGTCCCAGATTGACTTTCTTTATGGATAAAATTAAAAAACATTTAATTATATAATAAATATATAGTAAATAATAGAAGATAATAATATAATAAATATAAAAAAATATAATTACCAGCAAACAAATTACACAACTTAAACTTACTTATTTTACTCGGTGGATGCCGACATAAAAAACTTTTTTTTACAATTATGTACATATATCTTTCACATATGTCTTTTATAATCTTATATATATATATATATATATATGTATATATATATATTAGCATTTTATTAGTATTCCAAATCATGATACAAAAATGATCCAACACAGTGAAAAACTAAACTATTACTTTTTTGGGCGTAACATGATGAAAATCTTTTCAAGAAATTATCACATAATTATCGAATTATTACAAGTTACAAATATGCCTAATTTTTATATTTATTTTTTCTGTTACAATGTCATTTTGTTACACTCAATTCTGTCAGATTTGCTGCTTTATTTTCTGTCAGTTATGTATAGCCAAAAGCCAATAACCCAGATAATTAATCGGTATTTAAATTAACACCTGCATGTGAAATATACATTGATTAATGTTAAATAACGTTGTGAGAGAGGAATTTTTATGTGAGCTGTTTCTCGTTTTATGCCGCTCACCAAAAAGCAGTAAAACTACCGAATTGCAACATGAAATATTCACATCCAATGTACTGCTTTTGGCTATATACTCCTTGAATTATAAAGAACCTCTAAATAAATTGGGCTAGAAAAATGAGATTTTGGATCCGAATGTAGTATTGTTTGATATTTATTTTGTTTTATATAAATAACATGAGATGCATATAATAAATTCAGGTACTACTTTGGATAATGGATAAAATTATAACATCAACAAATTATGATAATTTGAATGTTAATCTCCAAAATGTTTATTATTTATTTATCAATTATCAACCTAAAACGAATTTGGAAATTGAAGGTTAGAATATATATGTATATGCTAATTAACACAATCTGCGAGTTTTTAAATATATGTATTATCTTATGAAGATGTTTGAACACTAATTGCAAATTAGTGTTGCGCACGATATAATTTTTTATTTTGGGGATTTTTTGGAGATTCAGTATTTCTAGTTCGATAATTTTCTGACTACTGCTGCTAAATAATAATGTAATGATGACTACAATTTTACATCTATATTTCGTTTCCTGTAAATATTTAATTCGTTTTATGTGAAAATTCATATTATAACGAAATTCTGCACGGCCACATTTTTACATACTATTGAATTTGAATTATTTCCATCTATAAATTATTTATTTTCTTTCCTAAGGAGAATTTTATCTTTTATTTTTATTAAATTTTATTTAATGATCAAACTATTTTTCCAGGACGGTTACAGTTTTTTCGATACCGAAGTCAGCGTAACAGAATCTGAGGTGCACACCGAGCAAGGTGATCAACCGGCTGCTGATGAAACAGTCGAGATCACGCCTACAAATGAAGATGTCGAAATTGTAATAACAGGTGCCGCCGATACTAAAAATATTAAGAGAGAAGATAGCGGTAACCAGGATAATCTATCGATTACTAGCACCAGTACTACACCTGGTTTGTTGTTGACTGCTGCGAACAAAGCACTGAAGTCAAGATGGCAACGGGAAATGGGCAAGGATGTTCGCATAGTGGTTAGTCAATAGGGATATAGTTTGTGCAAATTATATCTAATGTTTTTCAGTTTCAGTTCATGTTTGCTTCTTTTTATGAATCGCAAATCTTTTATTATCCACAAATTTTAATTTCTAAATTGGTTCTTCTAGTTATTGAAGTGTAGTCATTTTTAGTTTCATATCCAAAATGTACTGTAAATATTGTCATTTATATTATAGGTAGCTGAAGTCTGCAAAGAACCAGGAGGTGGCCTGGGTATAAGTTTGGAAGGCACAGTAGACGTCGAGGGCGGAGTAGAACTAAGGCCACATCATTATATTCGTTCAATTAGGCCTGGTGGTCCAATAGCTCGTGCAGGAGTGTTTCGTGCTGGTGACGAACTTCTCGAAGTTAACGGAGTGAGTGTGTAATGTATTGCTTAAATTAAATGTAATTCATTTTTTTTTAAACTTTGTATTATTAAATTCAATATTTATCTATTCATCAGTTTATCACCAAATATAGTTTAATAATAGTTAACATAATAATTTATCTTTGGTAGTAATTTGTCAATTAAGTATAGTGCAGAATTCCTTATTGTTTTATAATTTTTTTCAATTTATCTGTTATTTTTACCTGTATGATATTTACCACTTCAATATTTATTATTATCTAAAGGTGCGTTTGCTTGGCCTCCATCACTTAGAAGTAGTCGCACTCTTAAAAGCCTTGCCATCTGATGTCGTCTTGGTCTGCTGTCGGATAAGAGCCGGAAAAAATGATGGTGGAGTTGATGGCACCACGTACGAAGTTGGCAGAGGAATAATTGACACTTCACAGCACGAAAAAGCTTTTGCATCACGAGTAAATAATACTTTTCACTAATGTTATTATATGCCTTTATGTAATCACTTATAACAAAATTGAGAAGTATACAATCATTGATTTTTTTTATAATTTTCACAAATTTTCTAATATTAATTTGAACTCACTTTTCAGACCAGATTTTAGATTCCTGATATTATTTTCCTCTAATATTTGTTAATATATTACATGCATTCATTTTTGATATCACGAAATATTATTTAATTAGTTTATTTTAAATATCCTGCAGTTATAATATATTATTCAATTAATTTTTCTCCTTTGCAGAATATACTTGGAGGAAGTTTGCAGAATCTTTTACAAATTCCCGAGAGGCTAGTTAAAGCTAAATCCGAAAGTTCTCTTTCATCCTTTGCACATTCAAATATTTCAATGACGCCAAGCAATACTGGTAATATAATTGAATTTGTTATATTAAAGATACATTTTATGTAATTAATTGGTATCGCAGTATATCACTTATAAAAATATTAACGAATTCAACGATTGATGAAATGATTTCATTTCTTTTAGCTGAAATTAGCCCGTGTCCTCCAAGCCGAAGTAGGTCTTTGGAAGGGACAGGATGCTTAGGCGGAGTCGCCATGTGGAAAGACTCAGCAGAAAAACTAGAACTCATTAAAGGCGACCATGGTCTTGGTTTTTCTATATTGGATTACCAGGTTATAAATCATACATTTTAATTTCAATTTTCTGTATTCTATTAGTTCTATTCTATCAGTAATATCAGTTTCTAATCAAAAGTTTATTATATCATGATTATTTCCTTCTGTTTCTCAGGATCCGATGGATTCTACCAAGACTGTGATTGTGGTTCGTTCTTTAATAACCGGCGGAGTAGCTGCAAAAGATGGTCGTTTACGTCCAGGAGATCGTCTCATGGCCGTCAACGGAATATCAGTAGCTCGGCAGCCCCTGCACAAAGCCGTGCATCTGCTTAAACAGGCGCCGAAAGGACCTGTAGAATTGGAAATAGCCAGGCCGGTCACGAAAACAGTTCAAGTAATATATTAATTGTTTTCATTCATTTACAAAATGCTATTGTACTAATTTTTATCTTGTATGACCATCGGAAACAATGCTATTAATGAAATGATAAAATTTATTTTGCTTTTTAACACAATACATATTAATTGAAGTATTCATCTGTAAAGATGATTTTTAATATAACTGGCTCGTTTCTCAATTAATGCTTGACTAAAAAAATCATATATTCGAATAATTTTATTTTCTTATATTCACTCAAATTTATATATAATGTTCACATTTTTGTGTGAACATTTATCCCATACAATAACTAATATTGATTTTCATATCATCCTTCTAATATTGAATCATCATTTTAACGATTTCAGGATTTTTGCTACTTGAAGAAAATCATGACAAAGGCATTACTTGGCTTTTGACAAACAGTACGTTCAGTTTAAGTAATAATTGTCTTTATGTCGTTGTTTATCTGTGTAGTTTCTCGACAAGTTAAAAATAAAATACCAATATGAAACAATAAGTTAATTGAAATGATACCTAATAAATGTGCGCTGTTTTTACAATACTGATAGAATACATTACATTACACGGACAAAAGATACGTACTGTTTATTGTCAAATAGAATTTTCACGATTAGTAAATTGTTTGTGTGAACTTGCTTTGTGTGATTTGTCAAGCAGCAAAAGTATGTATATTAGCATGAACTCACAAAATGCTTTTAGCTTATATATTAGCACTGATTAGTAATTATGATTTTATAGTTTCATTGACTTCTTAATATTTGGAAACAAAATTTAAATCAAAATTCATTTAATTCATTATTCAAAGCATCATAGGAGAAGTTACGATGCATCTTTCCTTATTGAAAAATCTATTTCAACAAATTCGAATCAATTAATTAAATGGAGGTTATTTGTGAATATTAGGAATGAAAATAGTTTCATAGTTTAATTTAAAATAATTATATATTTTGTATCTCAACAGGAGGATTCAGCACAATCCAACAGTTCTGAACGCGGTGCCAGTAGTTCAGATGATGATAGAACTGGACCTGATGATTTTTATGAATGTTTGGACAGTTATGGAGAAGGCTTGCAAGTTGTGCAAATTTGTTTGGACGATGCGGGTAGTGATGAATGCTGTTGGGAGAGAGGTCAATATATTTATATAATTTGTTCATGAAATAACTACAGTGATAATATTTTTTTCTACATAAAATCACATACTGACATTTGTCATATAAATAATTAATTTGATATACAATAACAACTACTATATTATTATTAGTGTGCACTCAAATCAATCTCCGCACTTTCATTTATTCAGTGTCCAAACTTTCTGTTTCCCATGCTGCAAAACCAGATGGAGACACAACTCAACCTACAACTGATACTACACAGCCAGTTGCAAATGGAGATTTGAATAAAACACAAGAAATACAGACGCCTGACGAATTACCAAATGAGTTAACCAAAGGTTTATTTTATTATTTATAATTATAAATAAATTACTTGATTTTTTAAAATAATTCTCAAACCATCAGATGCCGAAGTTTCATCTAAAACTATTACGGCTAATGAATTTCCCAAAACAATCTCAAGATCACATTCTAAAGAAATTTCAACTTCTGATGAAATGGTATTCGCGGTTACTCCAACAGGATTGGAACGTATCAGTTTTGAGAAATATTGGCAAGATTGCGAGATACAAGTAAAAAAATTTTTGTTTTTTTTTAATTTTGTATTGAAACTTTGAAATTAAAATATGTTACATGAAAATTATTTTTGTAGGTGGAAGATAAGCCTGTTTTGTCGCGAATACATAGTGACGAATCTTGGAAAGATTGCAGAAGTACTATATGTTCACCGCTTGAAAAATCTCCATTAACTGAAAGAAAGCCTTTGTCTTCCAACGGTCAACTGAATTTAAGTAGTCAGGATTTAAGATTTATTGATGATGATCGTTCAATCGAAATAACATCACCTAAATGTGTTGACGAAAATGTTCCAAAATTTGTAGAAAACAATAATATTATCGATGAACGAAAATCCAAAACGCAAGAAGCAGAAGAAATAGTAGATGATATACTTAAAAATCCTTCAATTGTCAAGTTACTCAAAGACAGGTCTTCCACAAACGAAATAAAAAGTGATATTGAATCAGTTCTTAGTTCTTCCGATGATAAACATAAAGAACCAAATAAAATCGTTAATAAAGGGTGTTAGTAGAATTCTAGAAAATGATATAAAGAAGTTGAGTTTAAAAAAGCAGTTGTCTCTAGCAACAGATGATGAATGTAAAAAGAAATCAAATCTCGATCGTCAAAGCATCAGCCAAGACCTTACAATAAATTTGTCCAGCAGTCAGGAGTTAGCAGTAAGTACAAGAATAAAAAATGGTATTGGGCCTGCAGGTATATTAAAATGCAATGAGTTTAAAAGCCAACAAATGTTAAATATGCGACCAGACAGAAGTTGTGCTGATCAGTCGCTATTTAACAACAAATCAGCCAGCCAACAGTTATTATTTAATGCTGCGACTGAAGCTTACCAGCAAAGATTGAAAAATGATTTCAAGTCTCAGCAATTATTTGAAAGTCGGCCAATGAATAGGGCCTTCAAAAGCCAACAAACTTTGACTAAGGGAGTTAGGATACAGCTTATGGAATATTACAATGACCATGAGCAATGTCTAGAAGAATATCGAAGACAGAAAGCTGAAGAAGAAGAACAGAAAAGAAAGCAAGAGGAGCAAGCAAAAATAAACAAAGAGAAAGAAGAAAAATTAAGAATAGAAAAAGAAAAATTGGAACGAGAATTAAATGAAAAATTGAAATGCGATGGAAATGAAAGAAAAGAAAGTGGTGTAATAAAAATACAAACCCATAAGAAAAATATAGAAAATCAATATAATACAAATATTCCAATTATAGAGAACAATAAAATCAGTTCTAAACCTCTAACAGGCGTTGATTCAGTAGACAAAGCTGATTATGAAGGTATGATTCAATTCAATTATTATTTTTTTACGTTGTCCATGAATTTACAAATATATAAAGATTAGCAATGCTAGTCCAGCGACATTTTAGGCCATATTAATTGCATAACTATTATAATGATATACTTTAAATTTTATTACACAATGATAAAACACCAATATTGTCTATTTTATATTGAAAATTTTTATCTTTAGATGACACAGTCACTTATTGCGAATTAGAACACATGCAAAATACAACCGGTATGAAAAAAAGAAATTCAGAAGGAAACAACGAGTTAAACGTCAACATAGGTAATTCATCTTTTCAGGAATCTGTTATTTTAAAAATAATTTTAATTGATTATTCTTTTTTCCCAGCTAATGAAGTTGCTTACGCAAGAATCATAAAGGTAGGCAACGAAAAACGTCTCAGTGTCGAACTTCCTCAAGCTCCAGGCCTTGCTCCTATTACCGTCGATATTGGTAAAGTAAAAAGTGCTAATGATAATGATAATTTTTTCGATAAAACGTCAACTAAATCAAATTCACCGATACCTGATGTGCTTGTACCTGTAATTCAATGTGACAATAAACCTAGTGATCAAACTTTAGTGCCAGAGTTTAAAATAGAGTGTTTTTCAAAAGACAATCAGGTGACAAAAAATGTTGAAGTACCCGGAATCGGGCCGTCCAATTCCGTTGAAGTTAAATCACCCACCGATGCTTGTAGTGAATTAATAATTGAGTGTCATCAGTGTTTTCTAGAATCAATGGGTTTACAACAACCAAATAGTAGTGTTGAAGAACAAACTCCTGAGGATGAAGATCCTTGTCCGTTTTGTGAGGCTTTGAGGATAATGCTGGAGGGACGACCTCTGTTATCTGAGAGAAGAGTTTCAGCACCTGCAATTTTAGATCTTGGCTACTCCATTGTTACTTACGATCCAGGACCTTTAGAAGTACCTGATAATAAAAACAGAAGGAAGAGCACAGGACCTCTGGCTTTTTAGTAAGTACTTTTTTGTAATTATTTATAAAAATCATATTATAGATGATAAACTTATGAAACTTAATGTAGCTAAAATATTTTTTATATTTCGCGTTATACAATAAGAAATATTTAATAGTCATTGGTATTTTGTTATATACTCCAGTCTAAAATATATAGATATAGTGTAATCCTTATATTTTAGATTTGAGTATGTAATATAATATAATCATGAGTATATAAATATAATTATTATATATTAATATATTAATATGAATCAATATATTACACCGTGGGCACATTTACACCAATTTACGTGGTACATTTACACCAAGCTTAAAAAAATACCCACGAACGGAACATTTATTTCCAAGCATTTATTAGAGCAAGCTATAATGCAATATTTTGCATTGACCATTAGTCTGGAATATTTTGATAAAATGTGCATCGAATTCAATTTTGCCAATGAACCGAAAATGCATTACTTACACAATGATGGATTTAATTCATACTTTGATAGAGACGTGATAAAAATTCATAATTTATTTACATTAGCTACTAGTAAAGTAAAGTTTCATAAATTATATTCATGATACGTACTTTATTTTATATCATTTATATATTTTAATATATATAATTTTAATCAATAGCGCAAGGTGAAAGCTAACTTTTCACCTATCTCCTATTCAGATATTAGAAATATGACTTTTTTCTTTCCAAAAAAAATTTCTAAGAAGTTTTTACTAATAAACTAAAAGTTTGTTTTATACATTGCTGCAAAATGGTTGTTAGTTATATTTTATATTTCATTTATTTTTTTTTAAATTAAATATATTATTCATTTTTTACAAATATGAAACAAGCTTTCTATTCATTGTGTCTGGTTTGTATGTTTTTTTTTTTAATAATTTGTTTAACCTCCTGAGAAGGAGTCAAAATAAGATCCAAAACAAATATAAGGCGATTAGTTTTTTTTATAGAAACATAATTGAATTTACTCTGTTTCGATACCTGATTGGATACCAGAAACTTTTTTGTGCTTTTATATCTATGTTTGTGTTTTTTTTACCTCATATAAAATTATTTATATTTTTCTATCAAAAAATCTATTTATCAAAGATGTGTTTAAATTAAATTCAAAATTAAAAGGATTTGATCTTCTTTCTTTCTATTTATTTGTTTTCGATCAATTATTGCTTCGACCTCCCGGCATTCCAATAAAACTTGGTATTCCGTAACTTTTGGCTGAATGGTAAAATAATAGAAAACCTTTATTCGGCTTGGAACAACTGGTGACAGGAAATGTTTTCGGAAAGTTGTTTTTCCGTTCATTCAGCAAAACACACGTGCCATGAAACCGCTCATCATTTATTGATTGATTGCCATCAGTGGGCTACATTAGAAACATTTGTACGCCAAAAGGCATCTATATTTTTGTTTTGATATAGGTAATTATTTATGGAGTTTAGAAGAACTAATTGGTATTTTGTATACCTAATTTGTTGTTGATTACATTTTCTTTTGTGATTAATTAAGACTTCTTAACACAATACAAGTTACTGCATAAAAAATCATTATTTATTTTTCCTAAATCGAAGTTTACATTTTTTCCCAGAAAATCCGATCACATTATTTTGAATCTTCTGAGACCAAAATTGAAAAAAGTATGTGTATATGTATGTGAGCCCTTTTTGATCTTTCTCTGCGTCGATTTGAAAATTTTTCAAGCCATTGGATAAAATTCGATAAAGACTCCTGTTGACCATTTTTTTGCTACGGTCGGTCAAGCCGTTTCTCTTTAATAGTCAAAAACGTGCAAGGTTTTTCCCACGTTTTTACAAATAATCCCGAACCGATTTTGAAAATTTAAAAGCTATTATTGATTATATAACTATTTACTTACAGATATTATTTGGGAATCAAGTTGATTAGTTTTTGACAAAGATCGGTCATGTTCATTCTTCGTTATTAAATGTTAAATTTTATTTTTACGAATTAATGAAACTTGGGAGGCAATAGAGTTCAAGGACTTACTTTAGTCTAAATGAACATTTTAAAATATTTTAGTCCTACGAAATGTGATTGATCTTTAAAAAATGATTAATGGAATAATAGACGATGTTTTTAGCATAAATAATGAAATTACAGATAGGGTAGAGAGAGGCTTAAAGGTTCGTGGGTAAGAAGATCCGCAGGAAAAAAACCTAAAAATAAAGTAAAAAATTTTTTGACAACAATATTTGAAAGTAGAGCTCAAAAGAGGCATAACCAGCCATCATCTTGATTCTAACTACTTTGCTATCAAAAGATAAACGGCAATGTTTGAATATCCATAACAAAAATATTTTATTTTGTTGTTTGTTTTTTTAGTTGTGAGAGTTTACGAGACCTCAATATAATTTTTAAGTATAATTGCTCAAAGTCAAATTGGATCTTTGTGCTCGTACCTATTATAAGTCAATTTGAAAGAGATCATTTTGCAAATTGTAGTTTTTAGAGAAAGCGAGAATTTTATCTTCAAAATGAAACAAAACAGTTGAAAAGATAATTAATATAGCTGCATCACAATTTCGATTGATTAAAACAATTATTACTATTATATACCATGAGTGTAATATTGGAAAGTTTATGCAACTTGTCTTGAGTCAAAATGCCTCTTTTAATTGGTTTCTTTATCAAATTAAATACAGTAATAAATACAAAACAAATATTGTTCTTTACATAATTCAATACCAAGAATTACGATCAAAACAAATATTTGATATAATTTTTTATTACTTATTATTTTTAATTTGTATTTAATTCTCCCTAATGCATAAATTCACCTTATTTATATTTCTAGTTCAAAAAAATATCGATATATCCTGATACAACGTCGAATCAATGATTTTTTACAACCCCGTGTAACGTTCATTTGTTATTCTTTGGAACACGAGCTTTTTCAAAGGAAATACCTACGCAGCGCATTTCGTTTTAAGTATGGAAACATCAAAGGAAACCGCAGCCGACATTTTATGGTCTTCATTTGAAATTATAGAATTGTTTAATTGCCGCTAAACGCATTTATCATTTTGCCTTTCAGTCGATACTTACGAAAACATTTGCAAAATATCATCGTACCTATTCTCTGTATTTTGTTTCAATAATATTTATCAAAGACGTATTTGTTTTTGTTTTGTCAAACGAGGGGATGCTTTAATGTTTTGACATTTTGCGAACGTATTTTTATTCATTGTATTGCCTTTCGATGAAAAATAGAATTGAATGAAAAAAATTTCATGACATTTACGTTTTGTGAATGGCGCAATATAGGGTAGAGCGGTGTTTAAAGGTCCGCAGGTAAAAATGTCTCTCACCGATATATAAAAAACAAGTAAACTTAAGAATTTTCAA